TCTCGAAAAAAAAAAATACTGGCAAATCGGATCCAAGAACACATCAAAACAATCATTCACCACGATCAAGTAGGTTTCATCCCAGGGATGCAGGGATGGTTCAACATACGAAAATCCATCAACGTAATCCACCATATAAACAAGCTGAAAAACAAAAATCACATGATCATCTCACTAGATGCTGAAAAAGCCTTTGACAAAATCCAACACCCCTTCATGATAAAGGTCTTGGAGAGATCTGGGATAACAGGAACATACTTAAATATAATAAAAGCTATATACAGTAAACCAACAGCCAACATCAAGCTAAATGGACAGAAACTCAATGCAATTCCTCTAAAATCAGGAACAAAACAAGGCTGTCCACTCTCTCCATACCTTTTCAACATGGTACTTGAAGTTCTAGCTATTGCCATACGACAACAAAGGGGGATCAAGGGGATACAAATTGGGAAGGAAGAGGTCAAACTTTCACTGTTTGCAGACGATATGATAGTTTACATCAATGACCCAAAGAACTCTACCAGGGAACTCTTACAGCTGATTAACACCTTCAGCAAAGTGGCAGGCTACAAGTTCAACTCAAGAAAATCAGTAGCCCTACTATATACAGATGATAAAAGGGCTGAAAGAGAAATCAGAGAAACATCACCCTTTACAATTGCCACAAACAACATAAAATACCTTGGGGTAACGCTAACCAAACAAGTGAAAGGCCTGTATCGTAAGAACTTTGAATCTTTAAAGAAAGAAATGAAAGAAGCCCTCAGAAAATGGAAAGATCTCCCATGCTCTTGGATAGGTAGGATCAATGTAGTAAAAATGGCAATCCTGCCAAAAGCAATCTACAGATTCAATGCAATCCCCATTAAAATCCCAGCACAATTCTTCACAGACCTTGAAAGAACAATAATCAATTTTGTATGGAAAAACAAAAGACCTAGGATAGCCAAAACAACCCTGTTCAACAAGGCAACGTCCGGAGGCATCACCATCCCTGACCTCAAGCTCTATTACAGAGCTATAGTCCTGAAAACAGCTTGGTATTGGCACAAAAATAGACAGGTAGACCAATGGAATCGAATTGAAAACCCGGGTATTAACCCACACACGTACGAACATCTGATCTTTGACAAAGAAGCTAAAAATATACAATGGAATAAAGAAAGCATCTTCAACAAATGGTGCTGGCATACTTGGAGACTGGCATGTAGAAGAATGCGGATCGATCCATGTTTATCGCCATGCACAAAACTTAAGTCCAAATGGATCAAAGACCTCAACATAAATCCAGCCACACTGAACCTCTTAGAAGAGAAAGTGGGCGGTACCCTTGACCGAATTGGTACAGGAGACAGCTTCCTGAACATAACACCAGTAGCACAGACAGTGAGATCAACAATTAATAAATGGGACCTACTGAAACTGAGAAGCTTCTGTAAGGCAAAGGACACAGTCAGCAAGACAAAAAGGCAGCCCACAGAATGGGAAAAAATATTCACTAATCCCACATCTGACAGAGGGTTGATCTCCAAAATTTACAAAGAACTCAAGAAGCAAGTCTCCAAAACACCAAAGGACCCTATTAAAAAGTGGGCTGCAGAACTAAATAGAGAGTTTTCAATAGAGGAGTCTAAAATGGCTGAGAGGCACTTGAGAAACTGCTCAACATCCTTAGCCATCCGGGAAATGCAAATCAAAACAACTCTGAGATACCATCTCACTCCTGTCAGAATGGCTAAAATCAAAAACACCAATGACAATTTATGCTGGAGAGGATGTGGTGAAAGGGGGACACTCCTCCATTGCTGGTGGGAGTGCCAACTGGTTCAGCCACTTTGGAAATCAGTATGGAGATTCCTCAGAAAAATGGGAATAAACCTACCACAAGACCCAGCAACTCCACTCTTAGGCATATATACAAAAGATGCCCATTCATACAACAAAGGTGTGTTCATAGCAGCTTTATTTGTAATAGCCAGAACTTGGAAGCAACCTAGATGTCCCTCACCCGAAGAGTGGATAGAGAAAATGTGGTACATCTACACAATGGAGTACTATTCAGCAGAAAAAAATAATGGAATCATGAGATTCGCAGGCAAATGGATGACACTAGAAGAAACCATCCTGAGTGAGGTAACCCAGTCACAAAAAGAGAAACATGGCATCTACTCTCTCATATATGGATTTTAGACATAGATCTGGGGAGTGCCAGCCTACAATCCTATGGCCAGAGAGTCTGGGAAACAGAAACTTCATTTAGTGGCTGATCGAAGAAGAGGCAGACTCCCTTGGTTAAGTACTGAGCTGAACTCAAGAAAGCCAGTAACAGAGAGGGAGGACTGATGATCAAAGGGATTAAGACTGGGCTGGTTTAACCCCCAGAAACAGCTGACCAGACAAAGGTTAACTCTTGAATCCCAGGCATCAGCCTGGGAATCCAGCATGGGACTGATCAAGACCTCCTGAATCTGGGTGTCAGTGAGGAGGCCTAGGTAATCTATTGAGCCTTGGGCAGCAGATCAGTACCCATCCCAAGTATACACACGGACTTTGGACTCCCATAGAACAATGTGAGGTGCACTCTCACCCTGAACTCTTGGGGAAGGGTCTAGGCCCTGCCCTATATGAAATGACAGACTATGGACACCCCCATGGAGGGCCTCACCCTCCCTGGGGGAATGAGGGGATAATGGGGGAGGGGGGTGGGGGTGGTTGCGGGGAGGGCAAGGGAGGAGGGGAGGGAATGGGAGAGGGACCTGGAACTGACTTGTGAAGCAACCTTGTTTCTTATCTAAATTTAAGCTGGAAAATAAAATATATTTAAAAAAAAGAATAATAAGACCACAGGCAGACAGGGACTTTGCCAATAAGACCAAGAGGTGAGTAATAAAAAAAAAAAAGAGAGTGCAGGGGCATATTGATTTTGGGGAGTGGTTCAGGGATTGAACCCCACGTTAAACACACATTCTGCCACTAAGATAACCCTGGCTCCCAGAATGTTTATCATTGAAACCAGAGGTAAAATGGAAATGATGAGATTACTGCAGACAGTAATTGATATTTCTCTCTAGTTTTTGTTGAAGGTGTTTTGTATCATTTTGCTTTATTGAGATGGTGCCCGGTACTGCCCTGGCTGGCCTCAGTCTCTCTATACAGCCAGCAATGACTTGAAGCTCCTGGTCTTTCTGTCCGACCTATGTGTTGGGGTTATAGGCATGGACCTATGGGCCACCAGGCACAGACACAGACACAGACTTCTGAAAAGACAGAGTATTGATGAAGCGAGACATTCAGGAGGGGCTTAGGAAGTATACTTCAGGTGTTTTGTCTTTGAAACAGTGTCTCATCTCACTTTCCAGCCTGGTCTAGCCTTGAACTTGTTTATGATCATCCTGTTCTCCTGCCTTAGCACCCCACCCCTGATTGCTGAGATTACAGGTGTGTACCACCACACATACCTGTCAAGAGATAGCCTTTTATCTACATTTTCAATAAAGTCCTCCTTTAAACACATCAGACCCAAAGAAAATGTCTACTTAATTGGTCCAGCACACAAGAGACCTCCACCAGTTCCTTGGGACTTCATAGTATGCTGTGTGGCACAGGAAACACGGCTCAGCCCTTAGGGCATTTAGAGTCTGAGCCAAGGTTCAAAATGTACCAGCTAGAAGAGGCAGCTGAAAGTGATTCCTAGATTGGAGAGAGAATGAGAGTTTGCTGGCCAGAGAGAGCCAGGCCCCCCTCACACAGCTCACTTTAGGGGTTCAGCTATTGAATGACTGCCACTTGATTAACAAAGGCTTCCTCCCTGGGCAGGAGATGTGGCTCAGAGGTAGAGAGCACTTGTCTGACATGCCTGAGGCTCACACTTGTCTAGCATGCAGGAGGCTCCGGTAAGCCAGTGTGACGAGTTCTGAACAAGAAGCGGCAGGATTTGCCCTATGTTTGTTTGTTGTTTGTGTTTGGGAGCCAGAGACCCTCTATATAACCTAGGCTGGCTCCAATCTTGCTATCTGCTCATGTGTTTGGGTTATGAGTGTGTACTAACATCCCCGGCTGATTCACCCAGGCTGCTGTGCAGGGCCCATAGGGAAGTTCCTGCAGTGATCTAGGGGAGAGGTTATGGAATTTGGATCTGATTAGAAAGGATCTAACCAGAAGGGAACAGGTTCTAAATATATTTTAAAGTTTAAATAAAAAAGATTTTCTACCCTACCGTCAAGGGAAACAATCAAGCATTAGTCTGGAATGCTTATGATGGAATAGGGGACTCTGTATTTTTGTTGTTGTTGTCTTTCAAGACAGGGTTCCACTGTGTAGCCTGGGCTGTCCTGGAGCTCACTCTGTAGACCCAACTGCCCCTGCCCCGCCCCTGCCCCACCCCTGCCCCTGCCCCACCCCTGCCCCTGCCTCAGTGCCACCACCACCCAGCAGTTTGTTTGTTTGTTTGTTTGTTTGTTTTAATGTGATGCTGGGCAGAGCCTCTTGCAGATTATCATTGGAGAGGTACTCCTCTCCCCCCTTCTTTTCCTAAAGGAAGCTCAAGGACAACTTTATTAGATGTTAATGCAAACTGGCACAGATGAAAATCCTGGCAGCTGTAAGGAGGAGATGGAGAAAAGTCATGTCTTTCAAGTTGGGCATGGAGTACAAATAGAGACAACTATTTTAAGAAAAGAAAAAGCACTCCCAAAAAACGTAAGTATGCTAATGAGCTGAAGAAAGAGTCCCGAAGCCCTTCCCCTCATTTTTAAGAAGTATGTAAGATTGCTGCTGGAGGCTGTGCAAACATCTTGTTTTCCAATAGACTTTGCCCAGTGAGTTTAGCACCTATTACTCCTTTTTGTCTATGCCAATTATTCCCATGCTGTAAAGCTAATAGCTTTTTCATTTCACCCTCCCATTGTCTTTTAGATAGGTTTCATTTGATTATTTTTTAAAGGTTCCCCTTTCTAAAAAAAACAGAAAAAGAAAACAAATAAAGTGCTGGCACGGACTTACACATTTGGATTTTAATTAGTATCTAATGTTACATTATTTTATTTTTTTAAATTTTGATATTATAATGAAATTACATCATTTCTCCCTTCCTCTGCCCCTCCCAAGTCCTCTCACATATCACAACTCCTTACTCTCTTTCAAATTCATGGCCTTTTAAAATTAATTGTTATTACATAGTATGTGTATGTGTGTATACATATATATTCCTAAATACAGCTCATTCACCCTGTGTATTGTTTCTAGTATGTATGTATGTAATACTGCATTCTTGCCATCCTAATCCTTCCCCTGCTGTGCTTGGGAACTGATGCACTGCCCCAGAGACACTGTCAGTGCACTTGAAGATGTATGATATCCCTTAAGCTAGGCAGGTACTCTACCCCGACCTCTACCCCAGCCCCATCACTGCTGTTATGGATTTCCATATTGTCGCACAAGTGGCCAGGGAAGTCACCCCAAACTGTACCTATGTGTCTTTGCTTAAAAAAAAAGATGTTTATTTACTTATTTTAATTGACAAGCAAAAATTGTATATTTTTGTGGTGGACAGTATGTTTTGATAAATGTGTGCATTCTGGAATGGCTAAACCAAACCAATTGACACATAAATTACCTGACTCACTTTTTTTTTAATAGTTAGAAGTCTTAACATCTACTCTGGTTTCAAAATAAGCACTCCGCAGTTACTAACCACAATCCCCATTTTGCACAGCAGATCTGAACTACCCCACTCCCTATCAGTTTCTGAAGACTGACTTTTATTTTAAAGCACAAAATGGTCAAACTTGGGGCGTTCTCTATCTCAACCCTGGAACCAGACATTTCTCCCATTTCGTTTTAGCAGGAAATGTTTAAAACTCAGATTTGAGCCACAGGTGAACTCGTTGCTTATGAAATGTCATTATTCTGGACTTTACAGAATATACAAAATTATGTATAACATACGGAACTATACACAAATTAACTGATAATTCTGACTTCTCTCCTGTTCACACAGTGCACACCCTAGAATCCTGCTATATAAACAAACGATCTCTCATTTGCCCGCTTATCCTTAACGATAATCATATATACAAAACTGCATGTGCCCAAAGTCCTTTTGTCCTTCTTCTGCTGTGTGAGCCTCTGCGTGCTTTGGCAGCAGGGGAGCAAAGAGCTGTTCAGAAGTTCAGAACGCTCCTTGGACCTGCCCTTGAGGTCACCACAGCGCCTCATCACTAGCCCAGTCGGGGTCTAAGGGCTCATAGGGCTGTAGCCAGTTGTCACTGTCGTTCTTTTCCAGGGCATATGGCCCTCGAACCGGCAAAGAGCAGATGGTTAGGGGATCTGGGTGTTCGCTGCCATCGTGGGCTCGGGGCCTGAAGTAGGCGCAGAGCGCCCCCGAGAAAGTGTCGGTGAAGGTGAAGATGTGAGAGCCATCAGACGCGTTGAAGAAGGACAGCTTTCCTGCCTCATAGTCCAGCAGGACGCCCACCCTCCGGGGAGGCACGCGTAGCGCCAGCGCCACGCGCTGCGGGTCCAGCACGAAGTACTCGCAACTGTTCCACAGCCCCATCACCCAGTAGCCGGCCGCGGGGCTCAGGCGCGCCGGTCCCAAGCGCTCCACCGACTCCAGACAGGCGCCCAGGAACCAGCGGCTGCGCCGGCCCACGTGCACCTCCCAATAGTGGCGGCCACTGCAGAAGCGCTCCTGGCTCAGCACGCACGTCTGCTCCAAGAACCGCTGTGGGCCGTGGGCCATGATACTGGACGCCCCGGGTCGGGAGGACACGCTCTTGAGGTCGTCTGAGACCTCCAAGCTAGGGTGCGCTGTGGTGGGATCCAAGGTCACGACCACTGAGCGGAAGCACAAGGTTAGTACCTGCTGGGGAAGGTTCAGACAACTACCCTTCTCTCCCCTCCATTCCTCTCCCTTCTGCTCCCTGTTTCTCCTCCTGCCCTCCCCTCCCCCTACATTCCCTTCCCCTCCTGTCCTCTCCCCTCCCCTCTTTTCAGAAATCTTCTAGTTTCTCCAGTTGGAATTGGTGGAATTGTGTGCAGGAGGATACACACACACACTGTATCAACTACCCCTCTTCCCAGAGTGGCACACTCCTGAAGCCTATTCCTTTCCTAACGGAAAAGCCCCCAAATCCCATTCTTAGGTTGGAAATGAGATTGGTTAACTAGGATGGAGTCAAGCCTTTTGCGGCCTCTGCTTCCTCTGGTTCTACCGCCCGGTCTGAACAGCAGCACTGTATCTGCCTCCACTTTACAGCAATTGTAGGACTTTTAAAACTACAGGGAACCTCTGAGGTCATCTAATCCAGTGACTTACACTCCAACACTCATGCTCCAAACGTATCCATCCATTCGATGGTTGAGAAATTGGAGGGTAGCCTCCCCACCCCCTGCAGCCGCAAATATCCACCCACCGGTTTCTTGAGACAAGGTCTCCCTGATTAGCCCAGGTTGACCTTGACTCATGGTCCTCCTGCCTCAGCCTCCCAATGCCCCATTTCAGTTGTGTGTCATCCATCATGCCTGCCTAAGGGGCCCTTCTGAGGAATGATCTGAGAGGTTCCTTTCAGACTCTGCCCTTTCTTCTGCAAACAGATTCCAGGAACAGCCTTCCTGCCTTTAGGAAACCAACCCAGTAAAGCCCCAAAAGCTGTGCCTTTGTGTGAGGAGCTTGTGTGAAACACATGTGCATATGAAAGTGTGCGGCATGCTCTAGGTATACTATGTTCATTTCCAGGTATCAGACTTGACTCCTGGAAAAACCCCTCCTCTAAAGTCAAACCCCACCCTGTCCCTTCTATGCAAGACCCAACTCAACCCTGCCACCAATCACACTTGGCAGCTTCAGTTACTTACCTGCGTATTGCTGGGCTGCTCTCCACTCTGAAACCAAACAGAGGGAAGGGACTCAGAGAGCTCAGCCAGCAACTCTGGGACCTTGAAGGTGGTTTCCCTTGCTCAAGAGCTGCCCACTAATTAACTATCCTCACCCCCACCTCTGGATTGGATTGGGCAGGGGTCTGATGGTTATGCTGGGCTCTACCAAAGCGCTGTGCAGCCTCAAGTTACATTGGGAAGATGGAACACAGAGGCAAGAAACAAGCAGCCTTGGTACCCTAAAGGATGGAAATGAGACCTATCTCTGCCTGGCCAGGCTCGGTCCTGGAGGCCCTGCTGAGCTGGGCTCTGTCCTAAGATGCCTTCTAGATACCCAGTCTTCTCTTCACAGCCCTCCCCCTTTTTATTTGTACCATTCTGAGTAGATTTTTCTTTAGTTTTTCTTTTGTTCTGGAACAGAGAGTTGATCCAAAACAATAGAAGGCTTTTTTCAGGGTGCTGGGAGATTAACCCTGGACTTGAATTAGAACAGTCCACGGAAATTTAAAGATACACATTTCATATATGATATAGCTTAGTTCTAGCAAAATGTTACACCAATTTTCCCAAATTAACTTGAGAATATTTAAAGGAATTGTGTAATTCATTAACTTTAAAAGGGAAGTTGATGTAGTGAAGAAATCTTGAACTTCCAGATACTATAAAATCCATAATGGTGCAAACAAGGAGTGGGAAAATGAGCCCATGGACGAGCGCATCTTCACTGAACATACACTCACATTGAAGCCTGGCCTCAATGGAAGAATTATAGCTGGTGTACTAAATGGCACTGAGAAGACCCATTCAGTGCACAGAGACAAATCAGTGGATTGTCACCTCACACCAGGTGTGAGGAAATCTGTAGGAGTGATTAATGACCTGTGCATAATACATTATTGCAGTTTGAATCTGAAACCTTCTCCACTGGCCCTGAGTTAGAGGCTTAGTCCTCAGCTCTAACTCAGGAACCTTAGTCTCTGGCCTTTTCTGGTTCTTTTTGCTTCCTGCCTACAAGGCAAGCAGCTTTCTCTACTTTTCCTACTCCCTGCTGCCTTGCCACTGGCCCAAGTGACCATGGATAACCTCTGAAACTGTGACCTCAAGAAAACCTTTGCTCACTGGAAGTTTACTATTTTCAGGTGACACAGAAGTCTGAGAAAAACAGTATAAATTAATAAATTATGAGACAATATCATTGTGGTATCCTTAGTAAAGATTTTCAATAAACTTCAGAAGCATAAGCCATAGGTGAATGTTTAATTAATTAAACTTTATCAAAAATAATGATCTCTCTTCACTAAGGAGACATGGACAAGACTAACAGCAAATGATACAATAGCAAAAAGAATCGTTATTGTTTAATGTCGATAATAATATATGTATATATTAATAAGAATATATATCTATTATATATCAATAAGAATACACACACACATGCACACATACACACACACACACACACATGCATGCATGAATGTTCAAAGTCTTAGCATCCAGAGAGGAGCCATTAATAAAAGTACGAGAAAGCATTTATCCCTGTGGGTCAGCAAACTTAGAGAGTTAGCTCATACAGGATGCAGGTGTACAGAGCCTCATCATGGCTGACAGCAGGATGATGGCTTTTCTGGAAACTTTAGTCTGACAGCCTAATCTCCCTTCTTGGTTGTACCTCCTAGAGACAAAGGGTGATTGGACAATACTCTTAAGGCTTGTTCAATGTGGTTTGCAGTGGTGTGCAGTGAGAACCAGCAAGAAGAAATGGATCCAACACACATATTAGGTGGATATTTAAGCAGTGATGCATATATAAAGCAAGGGACAGGCAGCATGAGACTATGAATGATGCCTACTCAACCCCAAAATGCATGTGACAAAGTGGAAGTTCAGACTTACAAGAATATATACAAAATAAAATATACATTAGACTGTTGGTCTTATGGAGGGAAGATAGGCCCTCATGGTATTGCTAGGTCCCAATAATCCCTTTCCCCCAAACCTGGCATTTAGGCGAAAGCCAGCATTCCCTTAGGGACTTAAGAGTGTAGTTCTACACACTAAAAGGAGTCATGTCCTTAGCCTTGGCCAAAGTGACATATGGCTCTTCCCTTAACCCATGCCTGTGGTGCCGATTACCGCATCAAGGTCTGTGCTAGCTTCTAGGCTCCCTCGGTCCCGGCTGGTATACTCTGCCCCCTACCCTAGACCTCTCCAGCTCCTGAGCTTCTCTTCCCCTATAGTCCAGTCATTTTGTCTACACGTTCTCTTGGTTCCCTTCTTGGTTCTGCTCTTGACTCCTGCCTGGACCTCTCTTGTTCTGTTTGTCCTCTCTCTTCTCTTCCTCTCTCCCTCTGGCCCCCCATGGGCCAGGCTCTTCCAGATGCCTTCGGCTGTGCTCTGCCTCCTATCTGCAATAAAAACTTTCTCCTCAACCACACCTAGGAATGGCCATGTCCTTATATTCATTCAGGTGTGAAGAGAAGTATTTACATATATAGTAACATGTATACTCTAGACACACAGGCAGTTTGAGGGTGAACATCAGGAATTCAGGTGATTGTGATGTGTAACCAGGATTGGAAACAATGTTTTGCCACATGTAGTCTCCGGACAACAAATATAAATATAAAGGTGAAACATACAACATATGGAGCTTATGAGAGAAGGCGGAAGCACCAGCGAGACTGTGACGCTGCCACATACAGAGAAGACCTGGCTAATGATAACTTGACTTATGTTTCTTTTGTTTTATTGTTTGTTCATTTGTTTGCTGTTTGTTTGTCTGTTTTTGTTTTATAGTGGTGTGGAAGCTGTATGTATCCATTAGGAACCACACTTGGAATTTTGATCATTTCTCAGGCTGGTGATAGGTGGAGATACAGAGAAGCCACAGTGGGTCTTAGCCTCAGACAGTTACCCCAGTACTGTGCTGCTCAGCAATGGTACTTGGTAGATGTGTCAACACATTTCCAACTGAGAACATTTTCAATGTACAAATGGACAACTCATAGTATGTTTTCAATTTACTTGTAAATGGAAAATGTCCTAAATAGGACATGTATTTAGATCATGGTAAGTTAGGGAGCCCAGTGAGAAGCGATGGGAGAGAAATGGGATTTACTTACCAGCCTGGCCTTCGGACCTTCTCCAGTCTGAAGCAGCAAAGGAAAAGGGGAATTAGAAAGTCAGGACACCACATCACAATTGCATCACAGTTATCTGATTCTCCCTTCCCTCATCACCCACACAGTCAGCACATTTCCAGTCTGGGTGCCATACTTTGTTGGGAGAGGAGAGGATGTGTGGACAGCCGAGTGCAAAGATGGGACAGGAAGGAATAGTTCTGGGGATGGAGGGCACTTACCAAGCTCTGTCTGAAGTCTCTCTGCAAGCAAAACAGAGAAACATCAACCCTCTGATGCAAAGATAGTCCTTAATCTCAAACCCCTTCTGGCTGCAACTCTATCCTTAATGTTACATTGCCATGTAGAAGGAGGCTTATCCCCAGCATTCCAGGGCCTTTATCCTACTTTCAATTCAGAGGAAAAAAATCAACAGGCACTGGGCCAGGGAGGGAAAACAGGCTTGGTTCTAACAGGTTTCTTCCCAAGGCTCTGATCTGGTTGGAGAGTGGGTTCATTCTTCCTAAAACTACAAGACACTCCTGGTGTGTGCAGGGAGAGGTGGAGGCGGGGAGGCAGACGTGCCTGAATAAACCCAGATACCGAGCACAGCCTATGTGATTTGGGGGTCATTTGCTGAATCCTTTGTTTAAAGACAGGAAGGAAATGACAATTTTTCTCCTGGCTAGATGGAAAGGCTCTGACTCTGCCACTAGAACAACGTCCTCCGGTCTCTCCATCTTTTGCACTCTTTTAAAAGCAATCAATATACTAATCCAGAATGTGATGGTGACTCAAAATGGTTTTGCTTGGTAGGATTGAGCAGGCAGCAAGACAGGGCTCTCTACTTTTTCTGTTTTGTCTAGAGTTTTGGCAGGGCAGTAAAATTTTGGTTCTCTGGATCTTCATTCTACTATGAGGCCTTCTCCATTTCCCCATTTTGTTGGGGATCTCTCAATGTCCTTTGGTCTTTTGAGACAGGGCCACTCCATGTTGCATGGCCTGAAAGTTACCAACACTCTTGGGTCTGTCTCACTAGTGGAATGCTGTAATCGCCAGCCTTTACCAAGGAGCTCAGGTTCCTCACCTTCCTTTGCATGGCCCTCCCCTATACCGCACTCCTCCATGGTTTTTAATTGGTGTGTTCTAATGGAAGGAAAAGTAATTTACCAGAGTATTCCCATTTTAGTGCAAGTTCAAGGGACATTCCTCAAGGTGGCATTTGAGCTAAAAAGAAAATGATAGATTCCAGGAACATGAACTGGAGGGAGACTCCAGCAGGGTCTGTTCTGAGGTTCTTCTGTTGAATGAACGCTGAAGTCTGGGCACCCACTGGCAACCCATCTCAGTCTGGTTGAGGAAGGAGAGGCACCCAAAGATGGATGGAGAACCAGATGAATGTCATCCTTCTCTTCCTCAAAGGAGCCCAATCGCTTGGATGCCCTTTTCTGCTCCAAAGGTATCCAGCTAAACACACTTGTCCCGCACCCTGCCCTGTGGTGAGGAACCCAGAACTTACCCAACCGTGCAGTCAGTCTTTCTGGAGACAAAAGGAAAAAGGATGTTCTCAGAGTGGGGGACAACCAGACAGGGCAGGTTATGAACACTGGGACCTCGCTCCCCCAAGGTGTGCAGACTCAGCCCTGTGCATCTGGAAGCCAGCCTTGGTGCCTGGACAGAGTCAGTTCAAGCAAACCCTGTTCTTCCCTTCTCTGCCCTCCTCCTAGACACCCCCTCCAAGACTGAGGTCTTGTTTTGGAAACCCAGAGGGTTCTTGGGCCCTGCTCCAGAATGTGGGGAGAGGGCTCCTCTGCTGGCTTACCTCTGTCCTTCTCTCCCTGCTTCTTCAGCTTCTCTGAAAGGAAGAATGAATGGGGAAAGCTGAGTAGCGCCTGCCTGAATCTAGGTATCCTTCCAGTCTGGGTCTCCTCTGTGCCTCCCCACACCCAACCACTTTCCTACTAAGAGATTAGCAGCTAAGCTTCCGGGTAGGTAGACAGATAGGGAGAGGGATCATGGCTAGATTTCTCTGCAGCTATTCCTTGTGCTTCAGATTTTTCCTGCCTTTTAGTTTTTTAACTGGCAGAGAAAACAGAATCGGTCCAGACCCGTAGACTACGTGGCTACAGAGCAAAGCCAGTTGCAGGGCCTGACTCATACCTTGGGAGCATCTCTGCTTGTAAAAGTACTGCAGCGCCAGGATGGTGAGCACAGCCAGACTGAGTGGGAGGGTCACCAGGGTTCCCAGGAACGCTTTCTTCCAGGGGGACGTTCTGGGTAGAAATACGTCTGGAAGACATATCACATGGTGTTTGTTGCCTCTTCTTAGGCTCCACTAACCACTAAAACAAGGCTATCTTGGACCTCACATCCCAGAAGGTCTTGAGTGAACTTAGCATGGCCAGTTACATTTTAAGTGGGAGCCCCTGCAGTCAGGTATGAACTGGACATGAGGGCAGCTGCACAGCCTTCACTCCAGGTAGGGTCAGGTGCAATGGCTTGGATGGGGAAGCAGAAGGGAGGGCTGAGAACTGAAGCGATCCTGCTATGCCCTTCACCTCTTATAACCGGGTGTCCACTTCTTCTGGCTCTGATCCTGCACTTGAATGAATCCAGAATCCAAAGTTTTGTTTTTGAAAAACAGTGAGCTGTTCTACCTGGTTGGAGAATTCACGGGGGGAGAAGGTCCTGTTTCCCCGACACTTATCTCAGTTCTTACACCACTGGAAGAATTCCCAACAAAGCCAATAGTTGTTTAACCACAGCAGTTCCCCCAAACAATTCCTAAGGGTAGGATGCAGCTTGGTGCCATGTGTAGGCCAGGACAGCTCCAAGAGGGACCAGAAGATGAAGACGGGAGGGCAAAACTGGAGCTTAACCCTGCAGAAACTTCTGTGTCAGGTTAATAATTTTTGTGTCTGTGTAATCTAATTATTCAAAGGTAATGCTTTATCTCAGAAAGGTGTTTCTTTAAAAAAATATGTTTAACCTTCAAGTACAGTAAATTGAGGCTGAGTTCACAGTGGTTAAGAGCCCTCATTGCTCTTCTGGGGTCTCATGTGAGAGACAGGCTTTGTATCAAGGGGCTAAACCTCAGCCCTCATCTTAGCCATGCTTTACTGTACAGAAGAGTGACATTAAGTACACCCACATGTTGTGCACCTATCTCCAGCGTCCATTTCTAGAAAGTTTTTGTCATCCCATGCTGGCCACTGAAACTAACACCTCAGTCACTCTTGGCCTCTAGACTCTTCACAACCGCTGTTGCACTCTCTCTGTCTATATGAACTTGGCTGCTCTGGGTACATTTTGTAAGTAAAGCCACACAGTGTTTTTTTTTCCTTTTGAGTCTGGTTTATTTTGCTTAACATTTATAGTCTTTTTTGAAATGTTGCTGTTCTAGAACTCTGTTTCCAAGGTCTTGTACAAAGGGGTTGGCCACATTGGATTTATCCTTCACATACAACGTTCACTGCTGTCTCCCTGACTTGGTGGCTAGACCTTGTCCCTCTGTTCCAGCTCCTGTGGTCTCTCCACCTGATATCCATTACAATGGTGGATATGTGCAAGTGTGTATAGATCGAAAGGTAAGCTTAATAATAAACTACAAGTGCTATAGACTTAGATATATACATATCTAGAAAGAAAAAAGGAAAGAAGGAAGGAAGGAAACCCAAACTTTTCCTGTTACTAAAAGAAGTTAGTAGCACTAAGGTTCCCTTTAGGATTTTTTTTAAACTTTTATTCCTCTGAGACACATGGTAAGTGTACTTGAAAGCTAACCAACTTTGACAGCTTTATAAACCAGAACTGTTGCTCTTCAGGACCATCTTTTGTCATACAAACATCAAGGACAAGATACCTAAATCCCTTTGTGCTCTGGGAATTTAAATTTAGGGTTCAGCTCCAGGTTGTAACTTCATGCTTGCCTTAGAGATCTGTATACTTTACTTTCTCTTTGGATAAACACAGCTGGCACAGGTTTCCCCACCACCCAGTTATCAGGGAGATTCGGAATGAACTGTGCATGACACACGATGAGGTTAAGTCAGCCTACTTAAGGGCTTGTTACACTTGGTCTTAAGATGCACACAGTAGGTTGTAGCTACGTTATACAAAGGAAGATGGTATTTCCTAGCTATTGAATTAGATTTATAGGAAAAATAACCCACAGCTTAGATTTGTCTTCAAGGCTTAAAACAATAAAGACTTTGAGGGCTGGAGAGATGGTTCCGCAGTTAAGAGAACTTGCTGCTCTTCTACAAGACCTATATTTGATTCTCAGCACCCACATACAGGCGCACAACCAATTGTAACCTCAATTCCAGAGGATGTTGTGACCTTTTCTGGCATCTGAGGGTGCCAGGCATGCACTTGGTACATAGACATTAATGCAAGCAAAACATCCATACACAGAAAATAAAACAAAATGTAAAATAAACTGTGAAGCCAAGAAATGGCTGAAATTTCAACTCTGCCTGAACATCTGTTTAGCTGAGTCACCTTTTTTTGACCCAGAGCTACATGATGTTACTCCCAGGTGCCTATTTCTGCTTCTCAGTTCTCTCTAGTACTTCTAAGGCAGGCTACTACTATTTATTCATCTCATCATCTGAATCCCTCCCCAGGATGGGAGCCACAGGGTCGGGATTTGGAATTCCACCAACAGTGGCTTGAGGGATGATGCTAGGGACAGACGAGTTCCCATGATGATCTATAATGAGCGAGTTTGGTGCATGATCTTTGATATAGAAATGCTGCTGCCCTGGGCCTCCTCACTTACTACTTGGTTGTCAGCTGCACTCTCAGAGTTACTCTTAGCCAAGTAGATTCAGGTTTCAAAACCAACCCATCCCATACTCAGTCAAGTCTCAGGATCCTGTGTCCCTACAGACCACCTCTGGGCCAATCAACAAAGACCTTTTGATGATTAGAAAGTTACATGTGAGCCAGTGCCTACTGACCTGCAACCAGGAGCACAAACTCTTTCTTCTGGGCCAGCAAAGGGTTCTGGATTGAGCAAGACACATTACTATGAGCCCCTCCTCGGACAATCACAGATGTGTCCAGACTGAACAGGCCCTGGGCATTCTGGATGATGGCTTCAGACTCTGGAGGAAGGCACTGCCCCTGGTGGTCTCTCCACTGAACCTTCGGCTTGGGATACCAGCCACTGGAACTGCATCGCAACTGAATGCCTCCTTCGTTGAAGCCCTCAAGGGAGATGTGTGGATCTAAGCCCAGTCCTGGGAAAGCAGGAGTGTGAAAGATCAGGCTCACTTCTAGAAGCTATGCATAAAGTTCATGCCACTGTTCACCATCTGAGGTCATCATAAGATGCCAGGAACATGACTCTTATCATGTTTGTGAGCTCACAGTCCTCCAGCTATGAGCTGCCAAAGACTGTTTAGATTAGGCAGGGGCAGTAGGAACTATTCAGAGGAGTGCTATGTGCATTTAATTATATTGTGCAATAAATGATGCCACCACAAAGTCTCACCCAAAATTCCAAGACTGCCCTCTGTTAGTTCTCACTAGATCTCAAATGCCTATGGTACATTCAGTCCTTTCCCAGTCAAATAGAGCTGGCTCTGTTATTTGTCTAGCTATCATTTGCAAATTAAGTATCAATTTATGTGCTAGGGGGCAAACTCAGCTCTTGTTCATCTAGGTAAACATTCTATTACTGAACTGTATCCCCAGCCATGTATTTTAAATTTGCAAAGTATTAATATATGTGTTTATGTATGTGTGTACAATATATCCTGAGTCTGTCTTTTTTGTTGGTGGGATATATAGTTTCAAGGCTGACCACTCTGCATGTATGTAACAATAGCCCTCAAAGAAAAAGAGGCTATCAACTTGCCAGTGGGAGGCATTTGAGAGAAGGTAGCTGGGGAGGGTCAGAGAGAGGAAAGAAGGGGAGAAAATTGATGTAATTCTATTTCAGTCAAAATCATATTGAAATATTAATGTTTTTTAAATATAAATAATGTATAAAATACACATCAGGAAAGCCCCAGTCCTTTCTCCATCTTTTTTTTATTTTCTACAACCTCTTAGGTGATCAAATAATATTAGCTTCTAGCTTACTTCTTACATTTCTTTCTATGATATTCCCTTTTATTTCCTGTGCACAAAAATATACAACTTCAGGTTTCTTTTGTGTGTTGTTTTACCCTCTTAGTAATGGACTCGACGAACCACTACACGTCTGTTCATTGAGCTCCTTGTCTTTCTAGATTTAGAATGTAGACAGTTCCTTCGTGTTTGTTGTATTTAGGAAGCTTCAATGCTCAAGAAATTCTAAGTAATATTACAAATACTAATCTTGCACTAATGCCTATTATACCTTGATGTCACCTTGTCATTATGAACTAAAATATCTTTCCAGCTGTTTTGAAGTCTTAATATTTTTTAATGAATGTTTTTACCCTTTTATTTACTGTATATGGATTTGTTGGGATGCCTTTTCTCTTTTTAACTTTTTAAAAACTTTT